AGATTTTCCACGTAACTCAAAATCAAAAAAAATCCTTTTAAAAGTTTGGGTTCTAATACTACGATATTCTCTTAAGTTCGTCCAGTGAAAATTTTTCCGAGGTACGATTGTTCTTCTCAATTCACATTGTTTGAATTTTTTGAACAAACATCATAAATCTCTTAAATTCCAGAAAGCCCCCAAATCCTAAAATATAATGGATTTTGTTGTATTTAATTCTGTGGTTTCAAAAGAGTTTTAGGAAACGTAGTGATAAGTGATAATGATATGAGGTCATTATTGTCTAAAATGTAACACCCCAATTTAGGGGCTAAATTTAAGAAAATATAAATTGGTGGATTTAATTTGGTATTTTGAAAGAAACAGGGGATTAAATTGTAAAGTTCTAAAGTTGGCAGACCGTTTTCAGAAGTGCAGAAAGTTCAGTGGCTAAACCCATGATTTAACCATTTTTTTAATATGTTGAATTATAAATCTGATTCTCGTGAGCAGGCAGCAGAAATTTTCCAGATTTCCCTTCTCCAGCAACCCAACTTCCAACTCCGATCTACTCGCCGTCCGACCTCCAAACGACGAGCCGAAACAACCATCGTGTTCGTTGTCAACCGAGGAACAAAACCCCTCAAACCTTTCGTCGTGAATCATCGCCGTTCGTCGTGAATTTCAGTCGGAAGTATCGTCGGTAATAACTCGGTTTTAGTTGGTTTTTCATCGATTCACAACGATCGGGTCATCTGTTTACGACACCTCCCGCACCATCGTGTTCCTTGTGCCGTTCCGAGTCCACCGGTGTTCTCCTTTTTCTCCGGCGGCGGCGGCGCGTTGGGAGGTGAACCGGTCAAACTTCTCGATTTGTTGAAATCGAGCTCTCCACCGTTCAAAATTGTGAACCGAGCTTTGTAAGTATCTCGAAATCGCTCAAAATAATTTTTAGAAATTTTTCCGGGATTTTATCACTGTTAACGCGCCCCCACGCGCCGACACTGCGCGTGGGGAAGGGAAAAGTGACCGGTTTGACCGGTTTTGGAACTGTTTTGACCGGTTTGACCGGTCACAACCCGACCCGACCCGTTTACCCGAACCGACCCGTTGACCCGACCCGTTGACCCGACCCGACCCGTTGACCCGACCCGTTGACCGTTGACCCGTTGACCGTTGACCGGAGTTGACCACTGTTGACCAAAACTTTGACTGGCTTTGATCGGGCATTAAACGACCTTTGACTTCAACCGAGTATACCTATCCTGACATTTTTCGACGTTCCAAATCCGATTCCGCTGTCCGTTTTTCGAAATTCGAACCCTAAGGCCTCGAAATTGTCAGTCAAACCCGTTGACTTTGATTTTGACCAAAAATTCCAAATTTCCGAAAAGTCATATTTTATGCTTTCGACGTCCTGAATCCGAATCCGAAGTCCGTTTCGCCAAATTCGAACTCGGTAAGCCGTCTTTCACTGATTTATCACCCGATTCGATCCGTTTATCGTAATTAAGCTCCGTTTCTGATATAATTTATGTTGATATGTATCTGAGGAATTATTGGAAGTTGAATTGAAGATCAAAGGCGTTCGAATGGAATTTTTATGGTCGATGAGTATTGCACGGAAATCGAGGTAATACTTTACTACCTCTTTATGCTTTATAGAACATGTTGGTATTGGTAAATGCATGAATGGAAATGTTTGGTCTCATATGTGTAATTAATGAAGTTATACACTCGATCTGAATAGGTAAAAAGGTTCAGTAATTGATTATGGTTCAGATGACTTTTATAAGAAATTAAGGGATTGCTAGAATTAAATTACAAGTTATGTGCTTAGTGGTAAAGAAATCAACCTGGATCTGTAACTTATAATTTATTTTATAAAAGGTTAAATGTTAAAGGCATTTGGATGTGAATTTATGAAAATACTCCGGTAGGGTAAAATTACGAAAATACCCTTGTGTTATAAAAAGACAAGATTGGAATATGGAAGTTAGATAAGAGGATTTTACAGACATATGATCTGATAAAAATATTGATGTGCATAAGAAATGATAGTTATACGTAGACATTATGGATAACCGGTTTTTAATCCCAAGAGGGTTTATACAAGATACTAGAAGTGTGTTAAGGGAATTATTTCAAGATCAGAGATTGTTCAAGAAAGCAATTAATCATAGGATCTCTAAATTATATTATTTTCGTTAAGAGCTAATATCGAACTTATCTGGTTAAGAAATTACGGAAATGCCTTAAGAGGTAGAATAGTCTAAGATGACTCTGAATGAGAAAATACTTAGAGGATTCGTACTTAACTCGATTAAGTACGGATTTAATTGTTAAGATCCCGACTTAGTGCAGGAAAATTTATGATATTCCGTTTGTAAAGTCTGAGAAGACACTTGACCTGAAAATATTCGAATAATGAGTAAATACTGGAAGAGTAATTATCGGGGGTATTCTGCTGTCAGAATTGTTCGAAAGGACTGAAGTAAATGATAAGATTGAATTAAATAATAAGATCGGATGGAAGGAAAAGATTGAAATACCGTGAATCTGTAAAATGACCAAAATACCCCTGTAATAGAAATGACCCAAGAATATCACCAAGCTCAGGAATGATTGAATATCCTCGAGCTCTGAAATGAATGGAATAAAACTGAACATCAAAATTACCAAAATACCCTTATGGCATAAATTAAGTAAATGTCTTGGATTAATTAAGGAATCCAAGTAAGAAAGTATTGGACTACCTTTAAAGGTAATGGAAAACAATTTAAGTGAGTAGATCAACCCTAAATCTATGTCAATACCTGAATGATATAGATATTACTGGAATGCGTGTTCGTCTTCTTAAGTTTGGCTCGATGATAATTTGGAAGTATTCAACTCAACTCAACTCTAGATCGCATTCAGTACTATGAATTGGACGTTTGTTAGTCAAATCAACCATGAAGACCAAATCGAATGGAATTGAAGTACAACATGTATCTAAAATTCAGTAACGTCTAAATTACTCTGAAAAACCCCGAAGTAACTGGAATGGATTTGATTGCTAAATAAGCTAAGTAACCTCAATGATCGAGGATTAAGTAAGTGAATTGGATAAGTCTGGAAATTCTGATGAGTTTATAAGATGTACTGTCCTTATGGAACATGAACTACAAATCAAGCACGTTAGTATTTCATGATATCGTGGAAGCTTGGAAATGAAATAAAGATCATTGGAAGATCTATTCAGCGATGATTCTGAAGGTGATCTATGAACAAGAATTTGTGGTATTAAAAAGTAACTACCCTGGAAGGGAAATGAATTGACCAGTGGATATAAATTGTTAAGGTTCTGAATCTTCGTTATCAAGTTGTTCGATTATCCGATCAATTGACATGGATACAAAGGATTCTGAATACCCTTCTGATTACGTACAACTTCTGAAAACTGTCCGAATAAGATATGATCCTGATAATTCACATTATGAATAACTGATGATTCTGTCAGTTAATGAACTCTTCCAATAGTGATTCTAAATTTCAACATTCTATCGGTAAACTAAAGATTTGTGTTTCTATGCCCGATAAGATTATCCTGTATCTCTAAATAATATTTGGAAACTCTAGTGTGTCCCTTACTTATATGAATATTTTATCTGATTTCTGATTTGAATTATGTTTTGACATCTGATCTGAAATCTGTTCTGATTCCTAACCTGGATTCTGTTATGATATCTGATCTGAATTATATTTTGATTTCTGATATCTCCGTTTACCGACGGAGAAATGTTTATCTGGGGGTTTATTGTTGGAGGAAGATTATCTGCAGACTCCTCGGCTTTGTGCTCAGGGTCTAAATGGCATGTGCGGTTGGGTGTATGGTTCTGGGGAACCTACACATTTATGATGTGAACGGATGGGGGTATATATATATATATATGTTTTAAAAGATCTGTATCTTTTACTGAATTTTTGGGAACACACTAGAAAACCTATTCTGAACTCCTGAACTCAATCATCCGAATTATTTATCTGAACTGAAAGCTCATTGTCCGTTAGCACCTGAAATATCAGTAGGATCCCTGCTCAGTATAAAAATCTGTAAATATCTGAACCAATAAGGAAAATATGTTTATCTGTACCTGCACGTTTTTCAGCATCATCTGGTAGTTCTGTATTACTGAGCTTTTCGAAGCTCACTCTATTACTCACCTTTTCAGGTTAAAAGAATTGTACCAGTGCATCTATCGACTTCAGTAAGGGAGTTCTTCCGGTGATGTTGCAGAGTATGGTACATGTGATTAGGGGGCATGTAATTGTATTTTGATTTATATATATGAGTCTGAAAATCTGTTTTATTTTTAAATAGTCAAAACTGATTTTATAAGTTACACGTTTCAATAAAAGTTTTAAATTTTCCGCTATTTTTACAATGGGTCGCTCCGGTGGCCCAAATGTGACACCCTGTATCGGATCTGGCTACCTGCATCGGTCTGGGGGGTTACATTTAGTGGTATCAGAGTTTTAGGAAACGTAGTGATAAGTGATAATGATATGAGGTCATTATTGTCTAAAATGATCGTAAAAGAATGATGATTTTAGATGAAGAATAAAAATGAATAAAAGCTCTACCCTTAAGGAACGATAAAGAGATGAATGCAAATTTTTTTTTAACTTCACATCACCTTAATGTAGATAAATAAACAGTTTATAATGCTTATATTAAAACTATATCAAAATTCAGTTACTTTTAAATTAGTTCACCCTCAAAATAAAAGACGGTATTCATAGGTAATATGAACTAATATTTTTTTAATCATCTTTCTAGAAAAATCAGTTAATCTATTATTTTTGTTTAATTTAAAAAATAATTTCTAGTTATAATTATTTTTTATAAATTCAATATTAGCCAATATTAAAAATGAACCTTTGAGTCTTTGATTAAAATGTAGCATAAATGATAGGTCTACATACATGCATATATATATATATATACACACACATACATACCTCGTGTAAAATTTTTGTTGTTGTGCAAGAGCCTTTTCTTTCTCTCTCTCTCTGTCTTTCCTTTTCTTTCTTCTCCATTTTCTCGAATGTGTGGATAAGAAAAGGAAATATGGGTAAGTTTATAGAAGAGAAGGCTCTTGATCAAACTTTTTATGCACATCATCATGATCATAATAATGATGATCATCATCGGCTGGGACTTAATCGTTATAACAGCCTGGAAGAGAAAGTTTCAGAGTTTTTGAATAACGATTACGCAGATTCTGATGCAGCCGATGGCTATAGATCGGACGAGAATGAATCCAATGATTCTCTCCAACACGATCTTTACTGGGAATCCCAGGAAGCTTTGCTTCAGGTATTTATATATTACTTCTCTTTTATCATTTATTTAAATCATACCTTTCTCTTCAACTTCAAGAAAATTAATCATGAAACTGATGAATTTGCGATTTACATCTTTTCTAGATATTTTTCATCATTATTAAATATTATTTATTTGAAAAAAAAAATTGGATTACAAATTAAAATAATTAAGACTTTTTTAATAAATTATTTTTGTTTGTGTGGGGTTCGTACATGAAGATATCATGATATTTTTTCTGGTGACGATTTCAAGCAATATTTTAGTCCACAATAAAAAAAGATCTGAAATAGCAAACAGAGGACTACCGTACCTTTCATTGAATGCATGGTTTTATGAAAATATTTGGGTAAAGTATTGAAATGGTCACTTTGATTTTATGATTATTGATAAAAAAAAACTAATATTTTGATTACTTACGCTATTAATTTATAATAACCTATAATGTTTTGATCACATGTTATTGATTTATAATACTTCAGTCACTGAGATATTACATATCTGTAGTTTGATGACGAAAACCTATAGCTTAAAGACAATCAGGATGTATAATCTCTCGAATAACTACTATAAACTAAACTCCAATTTAGAAGATGCTAGGCATGAGTTACAATTGTTGCTCTTCAAACTAACATGATTATGTTAACCATGACAGAAATCAAATTTATATAAAATAAACCTTAACAATAAACAAGTTTCTGCTCAATATATATATATATATATATATATATATATATATATATATATATATCAATTAGCTTGATTATATGATTGTTTACCAAAGTTTTTTTTTTGCCTAATGTAAAATCCGACAATGGAAAAAAAGTAGATTAGAAATTTTAGGATCTAATGATCACCGGCAATGGAAACCAACAGTGATTATAGACAATGGTAATCGGTAATCGGTGGCGAGGGAGTTTAATAGGATTTGTGGTTAAATTGATATTTTATTCAAAATTCAAGAGTCGAATTGATATTTTATCTAAAATTTAGGTGTTAAATTAATATTTGATCTAAGATTTATAGTTCAAATTTAAAATTAACCCCTTTTAATAGTATGTCATATGTACTTAGCGTCCAAGTGACCAAAACATTAACTAAAACATTAGAAATCAATAATGTAAAAAACCAAAATGTTATTATTTTGAAATTTGATGAATAAAAGTGACCATTAAAATAATTTGCCCAAAGGGTTTTCGTCAAGTAATTCAATTAAAATTATATTTTTAAAATATCAATTTTCGAGATTTTTTCTCTTTACCTTTAATAGGGTATTAGAGATACCTCAGAAGAGGCTATATGATTTAAGAAGCCGTTGGAAGAATCACAAAATTCATTGTTGTTGAGTTTCAAATCAGTGTCCTTAATAGGTAATAACGGACAAATATGACACCACTTGACTATTTAATTTCGTTTGTTGACATCATATGGCTTTCTATTAAGTCTCATAATTCGTGTGAACCATCTTTAAGTCTTTTCCTACATCTTCTAAAGGTTTGGAAGATAAAATGTTATGACTAAAACCACACATAAACACCTTAAAACATAAGACTAATTATTTCAGAATTTTGACTGGTCATCTCTCATAAAAAATATATTAAATTATAAATATTAAATTTATTAGATTTCATAATTTAAAAATAACTGCACTAACAAATCAAACGAAATGTTGTGTTAAATAGAACAAGTAGGCATGTAAATGAATAAATGTGAGGGTATGTTTATGTTTGTTTGTTTAACTTTAACTGAACAAACAGATAAACGTGAACAACTAAACGAGCATACTTTTTTGTTTATGTTTGTTCATTGAAGAATGTAGTTTGCTTGTGTTTATTCGTTAAAAATGATAAATGAACATAAACGAACGTAAACAAACATAAACAAACGAACATAAAATGCAACTTTATTTTAAATCAAGTAAAAATTCTTAAAAGAATAAAAATAAACGAATATAAATATAAATTTAATTAAACAAACTAACATAAAATGTAACTTTATTTTAAATCAAGTAAATTTTTTAAGAGAATATAAATAAACGAAGATAAATATAAATTTAATTAAATAAACGAACATAAAAGGAATGCATTACCGAACATAAACGAATGCATTATTAAATGTTCACGAACGTAAATGAACGAATAAGTCATTTGATCATTTTCGTTCATTTAATTAAACGAACAAAAGATATTATTTATGTTTGTTCGTTTAATGAATAAACGAACTCTCTGCCGAAGGGTTTAATCAACGTTCGATTCATTTAGAACAAATGTTGGAAAGGGAATCTCGGGTTTATTGTGTAATATGGATTGGGGTTATTTGTGCAGGAAATCCTAGAGCGTTACGCATTGGTAGGTTCCAAGTTACGGCAAGTAGTAAATGGAATTATAAAGGAAGCGAGAGAGACAGTGTTTTGCAGCTGCAAAAACCAAAAGCAAAACCTAAGGCCTGATGTTGGTTGCATCAACTGCTTGCGCAAGACAGTTATTCATCTGCTTTGTCGCAGAGGACTTAATGCCACTCTCTGTGTTTCTAAGTGGAAACACACCAAGAACCATCCTGCAGGTTCTTTATTTCATATTGTGTTGATGTTATTTTCGTGTTAACATGTAATTAATAACGTTAAAACCGAAATAATAGTTCGGTTCAATGTATTTACCTGCAGGGACGCATGAATACGTCGAAGTGATTGCAAGCACGCTAGGGCGGAAGAAGCAAATCCCATTCGTGATTGAATTGGAGTTCAGAGACCAATTCGAGATTGCGAAAGCATGTGACGAGTACATCAAACTGGTAGACAAATTACCAGAGTGTTACGTGGGCAAATCCGATTACCTCAACCCCATCGTGGGAGTGATGTGCGATGCCGCCAAGAGGTCGATGGAGGAACAGAAACTCCATATGGGTCCCTGGAGGAAGCGAAGCTTCGTGCAGATGAAATGGTCTAACTCTTCCGAGCGACGATCCCTAATCGAGGAACCCTCCAGGCAAATGCTGCATCAATTTTGCTCAAAATCTTCGAAAACCACTGCTGCCGGAATCGTTACCAAACGAAACATCGACACTTCTTGCTGATAAAGATGCTGCTACTGGCAAGGGGCAGATGCGTTTTTGGGTATGATTAAATGATGATCATAGTGGCCAACATAATGAATACTATTATATGATACTATATATATATGAAACGGCAACATGATGATTGGTGTATGAATTATTGAACGAGTTTTGTACTCATTAGATCATATAGTAGAAATTTTGTCAAGGAAAGCAAAAGTCCAAGCCCATGCTGCTAAATTGCGGCAACAACTTTGTATCTTGAGAGACAATAGAGTACGGAAATTGGGTCATATAGCCGTGAGTGTTGGAACTGGATAATTGCACCGGCGTAAGTAAACATTTTGATTCACAGCAAAGTTCTGAAAAAAATGCTGTCGGCAATACTCGTTAAATATATCGATGCTTCATAACTCAGTTGGCGCTCGTTAGATTAGTTTATTCTTGCATTCATTTCTAACAAAATTAAAGACAACCATTGTTATCGAAAAAAGTGAAAATTCTTTTAACCTATAAAAAAATTAAAATTTTGGGAAAGGTTTAAAGAAGAAGAGGATGACTTCACTGGGGATGACGTCGGCGATAACAATTGGGATGGAATAATAAGGTGGGGATTTTAGAATGGAAGAGGATGAAGTTTGAGATTTTAGTGATTAAATTAATAAGATATTAAGATATCAATGTTGTTTTTTTTAAAAAACATGATTAAATTATAATAATATGTAAATATTAGGAACTAAATATATTATAATGTTGATATTTTATTCATAACTCAAATTTTATAATTAAATTTGTATCCTAACTGTTAGAATGGCAATTACTAATTTAAATATAGTATGACCAATAATCATCGGTTTAGTAGGATGAGGTATTGAGTTCTTTAAACAAGATTAGAAGTTTAAACATTTACGTTTGTGAATGAAATAAACTGAGTTGGGATAATCGTCGTCGTCTGTAGAAATATTTTTCCAGGATATATATATATATATATATATATATATATATATTAAAAAATACAATTTTTATATGAGACGAAAATGAATAAAATTTTGAGATAAATACTATCAATAAAATAGATAATTAATATAAAAATAAATATTATCGAGGACATCACTACTTATAAAATGGTTGTCCTTTGTTCCCATATGTAATGGGGTAAGGGGAGGTAAGATAGTAGGCTGCCCTCAACATCAGGTTGAGAGCAGCTTCCGTAGAAGACCTCCAAATTATGAAATGTCCTCCGTAAGACTCGATCCCACGACCTCAAAGTTAAGAACCTTGTGCTCTATCAACTTTTTGTGGCGTGGTCAACCTAATTACTTCCGACTCATTCTTAGTTGAAAAAGTCGAAACCCCCATTTTGATTCTGCAAAAGCCAAATTGCTAGCTTTGATATTAATGTCGTCCCTTGTCAGCATTGATTTCTCACTTCTGTTTTTAAGTCTGACATAAATTTTAAAAATATAATATGTTGACTTTAAATTTAATTTAATTTAAATTTATTTAGGTCAAATTCGTAGTGACATGAATTCTGAATACACCCTACCTAAAATGACTCGGTTAATCTCTGATTTAAAATAATTTAAACTGAAATTATATATATTTATTTCAAAAATACAATGTAAAATTAAATATATTTGTATTAAAAATAATTTAATAAAAAATAGATTATTAATTGGATTTTAATATATAGCATTTAAATTGTAATTGCTATTTTGGAATATGATAGAGAATGTAAATACAATGCAACATTTTCAAATTGATATTTTTATACCAATTCTCTTATAAATTTATAGTTAAATATAAAAATGTTATATAAATACTATTTAATTAATTAATTAATTAATTAATTTTTATGCTAATTAGTCCTGTGAAAAAATTGATGCAATTTTACCCAATAAAAGGTTTGGGTTACTATTTTATGTGATGGCTAACTCATTGCCTCATGTCGGCCTAACATAATTGTTTAAGAAAATCGACACACGTAATTAGATGAAGTCAATCTATGACCTATTCGGTCCAACAATTCTTACCAACCGATTAAAAATTAGTTCAATAAAGAAAAAAACTGGGTTAACCGCATAAGAAACAAACAAATTTATATTAGTGATTGTAGATCGAAATCTTATGTTATGAGTAAATTTCTAAAATTTTAAGAGTGAACAAACTTATAAAATTTTAGGAAAAAAACATATTTTTAAGAAAAAAAATACATAAACATTATAAAATAAATGATAATTTTAAAATTTCAGGAGGCGACTATCTCACTAGTCCCCTTCAATCCAGTCTTGCATGTTGAACCTAAACTTGTATTAATTATCATATTGTTTAGTCAACAATATAGTTTTAATTATGTTTGTATTTTGTTGAGGAATAACAGGTATAATAATGATTTACGGTGGTTTAAATGATAAAAAAAAATAAGAAAATTTTATTGATAATGAGAGGTTCATCTTTTTTAGTGCGTGCGGAGAATCATTGATAATGAGAGAGATAATGTCTTTTTTTTTAGTCGAAATCTTTTGAATTAGTTGACAAATTATCAATTTATAATTATATTTATAACTTTGAAATATATATTATTTAATATAAAATATAACATTGAATAAATAAAATTATATTATAATTAAATAATCTAATTTTTTATGAGCAAAAACAAAAAAAAAAACTCTTTTTTGGATAATTAAAAACATAATAATTGAATCTAATTAAAGTATTGATTGAGTGAATATTTAAAGTTATTAATACGTGCGGTGAGAATATCCAGTTGAGACATGGTCGGAGCCACATAGGATAGCAGTGTTAAAAATGATGATGTCATGCATTATGCAAGGTGGAGATATATATGGTGGCAGCCACGTATGATTGAGGGTGTGGCAAGCTTGGCCTTCGCGGTTCTCACTAGAGGTGTAAACGAGCCGAGTCGAGCTCGACTCGAATTTGAAAACTTTAAATGTAAACTCGACTTGATTTGAAAACTCGTGAGTCTAAAATTTTCAAACTCGACTCGAACTCGAAAGAAAATATTGAAACTCGACTCGAACTCAAAAATGCTCGAAATAAAAAAAATCAAAAGCTCGATTGAAACTCGAGACTCGAGCTCGATTGAAGCTCAATTTTGAGCTCGATTGAAGCTCAATTTTGAGCTCGATTCAAGCTCGAACTCAAACTCGAATTTGAGCTCGGTTCAAGCTCGATTCAAGGTCAAACTCTAACTCGAATTTGAAACTACAAAAATCTTATATTACATTTAAAATATATACATAATTTTCCCTTTAATCAACTATAACCAATACATTTTTTTATGATAATATGAACTAATTTCAAAAACATTATAGGATGCATACAAGAGTAGTTATGGTTGTAGAACATGTTCTAAACACATAAGATCAAACATGCGCCCACAATAGATAACCATTTACAACCCTCCCCAAAGCAAAACAACAACTCTTGCCATAAAAGTAGTGTTTCAAAACTCAAAATAAAAAGGCAAACAGAGTTGTCGAGCAGAAAACATACAACAATTTACAAGTTTAAATTGAACATATCAACTCTGGCCTTATCTTCAAATTACCATAGAAATCGGGTAACATTAAAACAACAAAAAATAATAATAAAAAATTGATGAAGAATTGGTGATTCAAAACAACCGCAGTCTCCACAAATTCAAGTCGTAGCAAAAAAAAATTATAGTCAAACATCCTGATTGTTTTATTTTACTTTGGAATGAAACATATTGGATATGTTCATTGTACAATATGTTAGAAAGAGGAGGCAACAGAGCAGTCGAATTGAGATGTAATTGTCATCGTCGTATTAAAAATAAATAATAGCTGATATACTTTCTTTATCTCTGTAATTCTGCTTGAAACTATAATATCGGAAAATCACAATTGCCTATCAGAATGACGACAATGGCTAGAATACTAATTATTCTTCTGGTGAATGTGGAGATCATGATAGCAGAGCATATATTATGTTCCAAGAAATTTTAATAAACATGTTTCTAGTCATACTCATGAAAACATATTACCGAAAAATAAGAACACGTGCAATGATATTTGTTTGTGCAACTCGTTGACATTGCAGTAAAAGCTTGTTGTCCAAACTACATGTGCCGTGATATGCAATTCAGCCAGAAAAATCTGGGATATGTGCAAGAGATTATGCAAATCAAGTTGACACACAAGTTCTAAATTACAGCAGACATATTCAATGCTTGAGAAGAACAATGAATATAAGGCAACTTTCATGAGACCTGAATGGACAAATAAGAAACATGTTTGTTAAAACGAGTGCCTTTGATAGATAACTTCAAAATTGTGTGACAACAAGAGAAACCACCTGAAAAAATCAGATGGAAAAGGGGATATCAAGTATGAATACCGATTTGTGTTCATAATATTCGATTTTTTAGATAAGATTAAACGATTAATAGAAATTTTTTACCTGATTCATTGCAACATAGGCATGCCCTTTATGTATAAACACCCGGCGACCAGCTACAAGTTCTGGAACTTCTTCAAAAGGCACCTTCATAGGGTGGAAGCCTGGAAGGTGCACAAATAAGCCAGTTAAAACTAGAAACTATATCAGATTTTTATCCAAGGATTAACCCTAACCTATGAAGACTAACTATGAGACCATCGGTGTTCTCTCTGAACCACAAATCACCAATCGAGAATGATATTATATTTAACACTGTTTAATCCATACCCCTTTATTTCTCCATCCACGTGCTTACTATTACTAATACATGTAAATGGTAAGAGCACTCTATTCACCTATTTGCAGTACTACTGAAATAGGTTATTATACATTATATTAACACATGGCTACAGGAGATGACTTCCAGTAGCAAATCAATTCTTTTTCATAAGGGGTAAGCAACCACTGCTTTTTGGTTGAAATGTAGAAGATCAAGAAAACATAATAGTACCTTGTAGAATATTGCATTAGCTGCAAAAAGAAAAGAAAAAAAAATAAAAACCAATCATAATATAGACAAAGGATCAAATAATGTTTATTTTTTTTTATTGGTAATCATAGTTTTATGACTTAGACAAGCATACATTATTGGAGGGATTGAAACTATGAACGGTTATGCTTCAAAATGGACCACAAAGGAGAGAGATACGACACTGATAGAACTTGGGATGAGCCTCGCCGTTCAACGGTACTACCATGCTCTTTATAAGTATTCATTGGTTGCGAGAAAAAGAAAGAAAAACTAGCAGTGGCCAGAGAACAGTAAGTAAAACCTTACCTTCTCGTCTATAGGAGCTAGCCTTTGTCGCCCGGAGTCTTGGGGGAGCGTTTAGGCCACGGTGGTTGTGGGTTTCTGCTAAGGCTGTGCGAGTGGACGAGGTTTGAGAGGAGAACGACGAGGGGGGAAGTTTTAGCCCATGAATGTTTTGAGGGGGAAATGAATTAGGGTAAGAGTTTTTACCCTAGATATCTTGCTTTAGTGTTCCTTCAATTTGTGCTTGTTTTTAATTGTGTCTTGTAATTTTAATTATTTGACATTGTAATCCCTTAGTTGGCTTGTTTAATTTAATGAGTAATTTCTACTTTGTATGCTAATTTTCAGTTTTATATTGTTTTGGTCCTTCATGGCATTTTTAAAATATGAGTTTAAGTTATTAATAGTAGGTTTAATTTTATATTGTTTCATCTTAATGTATGTGCATTTGCATTTCATTCGTATGCATGCATGTATCCTGTAAGCACACTTTAGTTTAGGTAATAATTTAGTCCGTGTTTATGATTGTCTTCTTTAAGTAGTTGTGTATAAATTAAACCATAAACCCTAAACCATAAACCCTAAACCCTAAACCATGAATCCTAAACCATGAATCCTAAAGTATAAACCCTAACTCCTAAACCATAAACCCTAAAACCTAAATCATAAACCCTATCACATAATTATAAGGGATGAGATGTCTTAGTTGTATTATAGAATTTTTAATATATTTTTAAAATTTTATAATTATCAATAATGTATTTTTAATAATGTAATTTTAAAAAATCTAAAATTATAATATAACATTTTTTTCGAGTCGCTCACGAGCTTTTCGAGTCGAATATCGATTAGCTCGTTTCGGCCCGCTAAGAAATCGAGTCGAGTCCATTCGATCCGAGTATTTATCGAGCATTGATCGAGTCGATCTCGAATAACTCGCGATCTGTCTCGTCTCATTTACATCCCCAGTTCTCACTCCTCTCCCGCTCGCTCATTCCTGATGCGCGGCTTCTATTTCAATTACAATGAAAATGTTGGACACGTTTTTGTCTCTGGACTTCAAACCACGACTTGACTCTCACAACTCAATCTCTTTTCCGTAATGTGGTTTCCAATGTTATTTCATTTTCTGAAGCAGTCACCGACTAATTAGATTATAATAGAGAATTATTTTTAATGTAGAAATATTTTTACAGGGTAATATATATATATAGTATAATATTTTATATAAGATAAACATAAATAAAATTTTAAAGTTAATATAATTAATGAAATAAATAAATGATAATAAAATTTTAAAGTTAATATAATTAATGAAATAAATAAATAATAATAAAATTTTAAATTTTAATATAGACACATACTTATTTTAAATATGTGTGAATCTGTCACTAATTACAATAATAAAATTAGAGATTAAAATTTAAAAGAGGTCAACTATAAATAATAATAAAATAAAATATATAATTAAATTATTACTTTAAAATTTAAATATTAATTAAATCCAATAAATAGAAATATGAACGCGAAGGATTTGTAATTATTATCCTCTCCCTACTAGATGAATATTTTCGAAGGCACCGTCCACTTTGACCTTCTTTAATATTTGACCTTTCCCTTAAATCTTCATGCATCAGTCCAAATATATATATATTTTTTCATATGTGATTGCATTAAATATATTTAAAAAGTTGCGTTTTGACTTTTTTAAATTTTATTTTCTCAACCTATATAAGCCGTTCTTTCGATTCACTATTGTGTATCTCATTTTATTACCTGCTTTCAACTTCAATCCTTAATATTAATTTGTCCTAAAGACATGAGTGGTTTTAAAGTAGACGAGAGCTTCAGCGACGGCAACGGCGAAAGGAAGTACAAAGGAGTCCGTCGTCGGAGATGGGGGAAATGGGTGTCCGAAATCCGAGTCCCGGGCAGTCAAGAACGTCTTTGGTTAGGCTCATATTCGACACCGGAAGGTGCTGCGATCGCCCACGACGTTGCTTTCTATTGTCTGCGACGGCCGTCTTCCTTGAATTGTCTCAACTTTCCAACCATGTTGTCTCCCAATGTCAATGCCAACATGTCCCCCAAGTCTATCCAGAGAGCGGCATCGGATGCCGGCATGGCGGTAGATGCCGTCCGGGGGATGGAGATCAGTCCCGTCGGCAATGAGACCTACAACGGTAACGGAAACGGAAACGGTGGGAGTGTAACCATGGGCATTGTGACTGAATCATGGGAAGAAGGAGGTGAGGCTTTGAGCATTTCTGTTGATGATTATCTCGATGTTTAATACGACGATTACATCTTTATCCATCTGCCATTAGCTTACATGCAGATAAATTTGTATATACAAACTCTGATTAGGGAATTGTACTGCAATTTCGTGTATTGCTATGAAGGCACTAAATCCCTTAATAATTTATCAATGAGCAAGCAACAGCTTATTTTCTTAATTTAGAAGTTGTCTCCTTACGCCTCAACTTTTGCAATCTACCAACTCTATACGTCATGTAATTGAATTAGTTCTAATTTTACGACTGCCATATGCAGTATGAATCCTTTGGAACTATTTGTAAAAGAAGAAGAAGAAGAAGAAGAAAAAAACTTTTGAATTCAAATCCAATTTAAGAGTTGACATTCAGTAAATTTGACAAATTTTAATGGACTTGGCATTTCGGCCGACGTATTGCTTATTAATTAATACAATAATTTTTGAAAGATACTCTTAAGCTTTACTACTAAAAAATAATATTATATCATAATATACTAAATAAATGTAATGTAATAATATTAATTATATTATCATCAATTAAAATGTTATTCATCTCTTTGGTGTCATTATCATTAAAATATAATTTAATACTAGCAATCTCTATTTTATCATATCATAATTATAAATATAATTTATATCCTCAAAAAGATTATATTCAAAATATATTTATGAGAAATTATTTAAATTGGAACAACTAATACTTTATTATTTGTGTTAACAAACATTTATACACATATTTTTTAAAATTTTATATATGATCATTGAATAAATTTTATAATTATTATTCATATAAAATATTTTCTTTCACTCATATAGTACGTGTACCACAAATCAACTAAATCAATAAATTATTAATATATATATATATAATAATTAATATTATTATAATAATATTTTTTGGTTGATAGCAGGACTCAAAACAAATAAATTGACAGAATTCTTTTACACCATCTCACTAATCATTTATTAAAATAGTTTTATAAGTATATTTTTAACGTACAATATTTTATGTTGATTCCTATAATGACTATGATAAAATTTGATTTTTGTATAATATATGATCATCGGATGAAATGGATGTATAGTTTTTATTTATATCTTTGGAATAAGATGATTAAAATCTCACCAACTTAAAGTCATCTGAAACAGAAAAAGTAGTTAGAAACGAAAATGAAACAGAAACATTCAGCTTCTCAAAAATCTTTGGCTTGTCGCAATGTTAGGAGCTACTCTCACGATTTCGTTTCCCACCCACTTTCTTTCTTGTTTTCTTTTTTACTTTCACTTTCATTATTTTACAGTATTGTCGTCTATTTCCTTTTTTTCTCTACTTTCATGTTCCAGGATAAACAAAAAACATAGGATTTTGTTGTTCTGGAAACATATAACTTTAATATTTGTGTTCATTCCCTAGATTTTCTTATCTGGGTTTTCATTTTTTGGATTTCGTACTAGTTTTTCTCCACCACCCATTTTCTCAATATTGCTCTTCTAACACTAGAAATTTGTAAAATAAATAAATAAATAAAATACTGTTTTTTTCATTCTGATCATTCTGCAGTTCCTCAGATTTTGATTGCTTCACTGTAGATAATCATTTTTCACATTGAAAAACTGAAAAAATAATTATAGATATACAGATCGATTCTCCGGAAAGAGTGTTGAGTTCAGGCTTTCCCTTGAATGGTGAAAACTAGGTTGGCTTTTATACATATTTGGGGAATGCATGTATTTAAACACCTATTCAAGAACAAGGTATCCTGTACGAAAAACAATATTATGGGCTGCATTTACTCAAAAGGAGCCAAAGATGTCAAAATTAAGGACAAACTCCGGAAGAAGATCAAATGCAAAGATAAGGCATCGTCAATGCAATTCGTTGCTCCTTTACCCTCACAAGACGACGATAATTTCGACGGAGATGAAAAGCTTGGAAACGGCGGTCAACTAGATGCACCTGAATGGCCATCATGGCTAGCTTCGGTTGCCGGAGAGGCTGTTAAGGGATGGAAGCCTCGGCGGTCCGAATCTTTCGAGAAGTTAGGAAAGGTAATTTAACGTTTGCACCCGAAGTCGAGTAACATTATTTCGAAGGCTTTTAACATTACTTGTATGTTAGCTTTACATGATTTTAGTTGTCCCTGTTGGCATAACAAGTCCCATGTGCAGATTGGTGAAGGAACTTATAGCAGTGTATATAAGGCTCATGATCTAGAAACAGGTAAAATAGTTGCCATGAAGAAGGTTCGGTTCGTTAATATGGACCCAGAGAGTGTTCGTTTCATGGCCAGGGAAATCATTATTTTACGGAAGCTTGATCATCCGAATGTTATGAAGCTCGAAGGGATTGTGGCTTCGAAGACTTCGCGCAACTTGTATCTTGTTTTCGAGTACATGGAGCATGACCTTGCAGGGCTTGCAGCAACTCCTGGCATGAACTTCACTGAACCACAGGTATAATAAAGTTTAGTGTTCAATTGTTTTTATATTTAACCTCGAGTGTTATGTATATCTGCTGTCGGTCTTATAAGAAAGTGATTGTTGCTGTAGATTAAATGTTACACTCAACAACTGTTTCGTGGCGTCGAACACTGCCATAGCCATGGCGTCCTGCACAGAGACATCAAGGGCTCGAATCTTCTGATCGACGACAACGGAGTTCTTAAGATTGCAGATTTCGGTTTGGCTACAATCGTTGAGGCCAATTTGAAACAGCAGTTAACGAACCGTGTCGTAACTCTTTGGTACAGGGCACCTGAGCTTTTGCTCGGTGCCACCGATTACGGAGTTGGTGTAGATTTGTGGAGTCTCGGTTGCATAGTTGCCGAGTTATTTGCTGGGAAGCCGATCATGCCTGGAAGAACAGAGGTGGAACAAATGCATAAGATATTTAAGCTGTGTGGTTCACCCTCAGAGGAGTACTGGCAGAAAACAAAGCTTCCACATGCAACAAGTTTCAAGCCGCAGAAACCTTACAAATGCCGGATCGCGGAGACTTTCAGAAACTTCCCTCCTTCTGCCTTGTCTCTTGTCGAAAAACTCCTTTCGATGGAACCAAAAAATCGAGGGACCGTTGCTTCAGCACTTAAATCACAGGTATTTGCATACCCTTCTACATATATAAAACTTATCATGCTTGTTTACTATTGTTCTCCACTTCTTCACATGTGAATTCACTTACATTTACTTTGTTTTTCCTTTTCAGTTCTTTAAGACAGAGCCTTTACCTTGTGATCCATCAAGCTTGGCAAAGTATCCTCCCAGCAAAGAACTAGATATCAAACATCGTGATCATGAAGCAAGAAGGTACTTTTTTTCAGTCCCATTCGTTGTCACCTCCATGAAAACTAGACTTGCGTGTTCATGTTATGTTCTCTCATGTAACTTCCAGAAAGAACAGAGACTATAAAAGGGCGAGGACCTGCATCTGTTAGAAGAGGTTCAAGAGATTTTAAGGCAGTGACTACACCAGAATTCCTTGGCGAGGGACAGTCGAATGGTGAGGAAGATTCTACAGGAAACAGCGGCGAGTTATCAAGGCAAATGCTTCAGACAGCCACCGGTTCCCTTAAGCAAGGTGACAGAGCATCGAGCAAAGGTTATGCATCGGTAAATAACCAACTGTTTCTGCTTAATTCTAACTATTATCGTCTTCATATTTTTGGCACATTCAAGTGACTTACCATCATTTCCTACGATAATCTTGCATGTTTTTACAATAGCTGAGACCATGAAATTGCTGATTATCAGATTATATAAGTTGTCATGGTTGGCAGGGTTATGCACCAAGGGGCAAGAAGATCCAATACTCAGGACCAGTGATGACTGCTGGAGGAAACATCGAGGATATGCTGAAAGAACATGAGAGGCGTATCCAGCAGGCCGTACGAAAAGCGCGTAATGAGAAGTGAGTACAGCTGCATCATAATGGACAATGATTTCCAGAAAATGCAAGAAGATCGGTCAGACTGTTTTCACTGGAAAAATGCAAGTCCGAACCCTGGTAAACCTACTTGTAGATAGTCAAAACAAAATACACTGAGATTGTAATGCTATATAGAATTAGGGTGGTGAAAAAAACTACTTGTACATAGCCACAACAAAACTTTGCAGTATACTGCAGTACAATTGTGAGAAAACCTTCTTTATAAGCCTAACAATTTAGAAACATAATAGAGGCTATAACAGATATAAATCGTCTGATAGGCGCCTTTCATGGTGGTGTAGGCAGGAAATGATGATAACTCCTGCTCAACACTTTCCTGTAATCTTCAATGTAAACATGAGTTGTCCAACACAGGTCCTCCAAAAGTGAAATGATATTATACTCTGAAACTTTGATCATGCAACCTACAAGTCCATGCACTGCATAGTACAAAAAAGGAAACAATTCATTTTAAAAGTGACATAAAGATTTTATGTGATTTAATATAATATTTATTTATTTATTAATAAATACTATTTATAAAGTGAGAAAGAAAGAGAGATTTTACATGTGTTAGTTGTATAATATAATTTTTGTTATCGGTGTATACAAAACTTCTGAATCTTGTGATCTTTATAATATTTGTGGTGCTAATATTTTGTAAAGTACAATTTTGTCAAAGTAACAGACCAATGAGAAGATGTTGGAGCACGTGGCTAAAAGTTAGCTGATCCACTTGGATTTTACATTTCTACCTACAAGGTTAGATTAATTTGAATTGTTGCTTATTAATTCATTATTCTTTTTATGAGCACTAGGATGTTTTTTAAGTGGATTTAGAATTAGTCTTTAAAAATTAGCTGACCCTATTCTCAATGTCATACTCTCATAAATAAAGGGATGAAAAGAGTTTATTTGTAGAATTCATCAAATGAATTAAGTTGTTAAAGAGAATTTTATTATTTTTAGATATTTTGGATTTAAGTAGTTGTGTTTGTAGGTATGTGCGCGTCGTCTATAGCTAAGAAAGATCTTGATTAGGTTCTACCTTGTAATACCCTATTCAAAAAGTGAAGAGATTATTTGTCTTCAAAAACTTTTCCTTTTTAAATACATAAGAAAAATTTTAAAAATATTTTTAAAATAAAGGCATAAAAAATTAACTTATTTAGTGGAAAAACCATAAATCAATCACAATAATTTACCAATTTAATATATTAAGACTTTGAGAATATATACATTTATAAATAAAATATAATTAAATTTAAAGTTTATATGATTACAATCTAAAATGATAAGAATAAAAAATATGAATCTACAAGATAAAGAGATACTCCCTTTGTCCCATTAAAACTATCCCTTATTTATTTTTCAAAAGTTAATATTTCTAAACTTTAACCATAATTATTTTAAATATTAATTTTTTATAAAGAATATATTTCAAAACTATTTGAATGAAGGTTTTTAAAAATATATCTTTTCATAATTCTGTCAATAATAAATTTTAAATAATAAAGAGTTAAAATTAAAAAAAATTAACCACAGAAAAGTCGATAAACGATAATTATAATAGGACAAATGTAGTATATTTATATTGAAGTACTTAAAGACAGTGAACTTGAGGCTCTAGTATAAGTTGTTGGGCTTGGAAACTAAAAGTTTGAGATAGGAAATAGTGGGTTATAGGTTGGGTTTGATGTGGAGAAGGCATGAGATACGATGGTGTGATGGTTGAGGGTGTAATTGTTAGTAGTGATGGATTTATAAATATTTTTGAAGGTGCGCATACATATGTTATTGGTATAAAATTTTTGAATTGGATGAGTTTAACTAAAATTTTTGAGTAGACACAATCAATAAAATAAGAAATTAATATAAGAAAAATTAAATTTAAAGAGTGTGCCTATCCGATAGAACTTGGATCCGCCACTGCTTGTAAGAGGAAAGGAAGCCGTCATTGTAGGTTGATGGGTAAGGGAAAGTGAAGTGTCGATTGACTGTGGACGAAACTTTAGAGTTAATGTTCAAAAATAGTTAATCGAACGACAATCTTATAATCTGGAGATACAGATGTATTGGCAAGAAAAAGATTTTGAATCGGTAGAGCTTTTGGTAGCACCTTCATGACGACGAACTAGAAATTTATGTTTATATTTTAGTGGTAGTGACAGAGATTAACCTATGGGTGTTGGAGGGTGCAACCACATTCCTAAAAATTTTAAATATTTTTATGTTTTAGATTTTTTCTTTGTATTTTTTATTGATTATCTAATTTCGCACTTTCTAAATTTTTAATATAACTTCTTAAGTTCATACTCTCGTATAAATTTTTGCATCCGTCCATGGATAGTTAGAGAATCCCATTTCCACCATGAAAACTATGTTTACCGGAAGCTGAACTTGGTATTAAAAATTTATGTTGAATGCATTACAGAAAATAAATTGAAAGAAGATGAAATAAAGTTCATTCACTTTTTTTTTTCTTGGAAAACAATATTACAGTAGAAAATGACTCAGGACACCTCAATAATAATAATTCGATAGGTGTAATTTTATAAAGAAATACATATTTCTATTGATAGTGTCACAAAACAACAAAGCTTATAAAGCCGTATACACTAATTTAACAAATAGTATCACATGATTATTGTGGGAATCAGATCTTCAAACTCCAGCATGTGTCTACACATTTATTTAGGTAATAGTTAGAAGGATGAACAATTAATTTAGCATCATTTCGATCGTGACGGGAAGGCCTCCTCAGGAATGGGTGAAGGAATGTAAGAAATCTTCTCGTTAGGATTGCTTTTGAGCCATTTGTAAGAGGTGACGAGTTGTGAATGAAAGTGAGGATTTCGAGTCGAGCATACTCTTTTCCTGGGCACATTCTAGGCCCTCCCCCGAATGGTACAAATGTGTAGGGCGCTGGACCATTCCCTTCAAACCTCGATGGATCGAATCTTTCTGGATACGGAAAGTATTTCGGATTCTTGTTCGTTGTATGTACCGTCCAAAACGCCTGAACCACTTCCAAACCATTAATAACACCGTGTATATAATAATCTTTATTTAGTAGTCCATACATCAGACACGTATTGGGCGTTAATTACCTTCCATCCCTTGGGAATGGTACAACCAGCATAAGTGAAGTCGGTAATGGCCTCTCTAAAAGAACCATTAGCAGGTGGAGCCAGCCTCATTACTTCGCATGCCACGCACCACGTATACTTCATCTGTATCTTCCCATCTCAACGCCTCATCCCCTCCCTCTTTCCCTCTTAACACTTCCATTTGCTCTGCACTTGCCCAACAAGTAGTGTCAAGGATTGCATTGCTTAATGATTAATCCAAATCAAAAGTAGGTACCTTCAAGGACCCTGTTATATACGTCAGGATGATCCGAAAGATAGCTGACAATGAAGGTGATGGCAGTGCTTGTTGTGTCATGGCTGGCAATGAAGAAGCCAACAATCTTGTTGCCGATCTCAACCTCCGTCATTCCATCCATCAACATGCTATCCACCAAGTCTGATGCCTCTGTTTTTTTCGTTTCTCTGATATCTCCTTTTCTTCTTCGTAATGAGGGCTAAGCTGCTGCCGAATCTGCCTCCCGGCTTTCACCGCTCGGTTGAATGTTGTACCCGGAAGATCAATGGGCACCGATATGAGACCCGCAGTTGCCAGAGCAAAAGGCTTTGCGAAGTTTTCGATCTCATCTGGATCCGTGACGCTCATGAAAAGACGACAGGCAAGTGCAAACGTGTACTTCTTGAAAAAACTTGGACTTCATTATAGGGGAACCAGTGTTGATTCAGGTGCTCTTTAGCCATTGTATCCATCACTGGTATATAGTGTGCAAAGACTCGGGCTTGAGAAAAGGAGGCAAATAGGCTCGAAGTTTGGTGGATTCTTCCTTGGAAGAATTGTCGACACTGGCCGGATCCATGAGAGCTTTCTTGATGGAATCGGGCCACCATGAAGTGACATATTTATTTTGGCCGGAAAAAAGGAACTTGTTACCGGCAGCGCCGCAAAAGATGGCCATGTCTTCTCCGAGCAAAGATGTGCGGAACACATCGGGTGAATATTTGGTAGTTCTATCGGTTATGAACTTCTCGGGAGTCCCCCATCTGGACGCCAACACATAATCCAAAGTCTCACCGATGTATGGAAGACCCTTTCTACCGGGAGGAAGATTGAGGGTGGCGCTGGATTTGTATTTGTAAAGCAAATAATGATGACGACGGACGTATAGAACTACCAAGTGGAGAAAGTATGGCATCAAAAAATCAATGGCGCCCATGGCTGCAACCTTCATCTTGCTATGATGTTCTTCAAACTGTTAGTGGATATGCATGTGACATTTGGTGGCCATGTATATTTATACTCATCATAATCAGTCGCCGAAGGGATAACCGATCCCCGTTTTTCACGGACGATAACAAGTTCAAACTCCATCAAAGTTTGGAATCTGGGCTCGGGTTTTTAATGGAAATCTTCCTAATATAATATTCCCATCAACGATCCTAATTTTTGATTTCTTCGATGCCTCTACTCAAACTAGCTGTGTATATACAAAGATTTAATATTTTAATTCATTGTTAACATTGTTTTTAATATATAGTTAATGATTAAATTTCTTTTATACTCAACACATTGATTAATATATTCTAAATTTATTCGTAATTCGAATATTTAAATAAAAATTAATATCTTTAAAATTAAATCTTTGCTTATAGTTTACAGAGTAAAACACAGTAATAAATCACTTAAAAAATTTGGTGTTCATAAGAAAAAAAATAACCACTATACAAGAAACAGAAATAAACCTGGGTTGTTGATCATTGGTACCTCCCACGTGCCTTGTAGTTGTGTTCTTGATTTTCTGCAGTGAGAAAAAGAATTGTAGCACAAAGTCATATTAAATGCTGCGAAATAGACATTAGACAAGGATGTCACAAACCTTAGGCTTCAATGGGCCCTTGT